TTTAAATATATAAAAATACTGGTCTTACTTAATTGTTTTGAGCTTTAAATATAATTAGCTTTTAAAAAAAATTTAAAAAGAAAGATTAAAAAAAGTTTATTATTATGACTTACTTTTACTATACAATTAGATTTTTATTGATAGATGCATATTTATATATATGCATTACATTAAATAAATAAATAACTAATAAATATTAATTAAATTTAATAAACAATATTTACTTACAATTCTATGAAATATTAGTCTAAGGTTAATACAACACTATTAATACTAATAATAGTATTGAATTAAGATTAATAAGAATGTTAATAAGTATAAAAAATATTGTAAATAAAATTATTTATATCTAGTTATTACTTCTTTATTATAAATTAAAAGAGCCTATAATATAATTATCATTATTCAAATTTTTAGTTATTTTATAAAATATAATTATAGAATTAATTTTATTAAAAAAATTTTTTATTGTTTTATAAAATATATTTGTTATTGTTTTTTTATCTTTTAATTTAATGTTAGTATATACAAAAAATGTAACTATTTATAATTTTTTATTTTATAATTTGAGTTTATTCTTATAAAGTATATTTGTTTTCTTTAATTTTTTTTTTTAAGCAGTCATACTAGTACTTTATTAGAATTCTTAATGCTATACAGATTATAGAGATTTTTTTTAATACTTAAGTTCAGCATCATTTGGCCACCTTATTAGTATATAAGTATAATTTGCTGCACTACTCTAAACAGAGATAAGCTGCTTATCTGATGCTGCCCTACAATAGGATACCACCAATCTGATGATATTTTCTTGTAATAAAGCAAAAAAACAAAAAAAAAATTTTATATATATAAAAAAAAACAAAGCTATAAGGATAAATAATGAAAGATACAAAACAAGAAATAAAAAGAAGAAAAAAAGATAAATAAGAAAAAAGAAAAGTGTGAAACTTGCAATTCACAAAAAATCAGCTAGTCATGATTTTAAGTCTATGGCAGGTATGAAACTTGCAATTCACAGATATTAGACAACTACAATTATAAGTCTGTACTAGGTTTATAAAAATTATAAATTATACTAAATAGAAATTATTCTATTATTTTCCTATTTACTTAGATTATTTAAACAAAAAACCAAAAAGAAAAAAAAACTTTGACTTTATTGTAAAGAGTCAATATAAGTTACTAGTTAGTTTGAATGCAATGCTTAACAGGTTTCTAGCAGCTCAAGGTACATGTATAGTCATATTTATATTACTGTATTATTTCTGATTTACATTATTAATAATATCATTTAGAAAATAAATATTTCTAACTGTTTTGATAATTTTAAATATTGATCTTTAGAAAGGTAAACTAAATTATTCACTTTTTACAAAATTTTTCTTAAAAAAAAGTATAAGTACTAGGTAAACTAACTTTTTAGCTTTTGTTAGTTCTTAACTCTTGTGAGTGTTCCTTGTAGGTTTTACAATTGTATAGAACTAATATATTCAACTTTGTTGTTTACTTAATAAAAAACTTTGGCTTTTACAACTATTTCTTCTATAGTCTCAGAGTGCTTTTTAAACAATTACTACAAGGCTGCAACTCTTTTTTAACTCTATTTTAATTTTTAACAATACATATACAATACTTCAGAAAGGTTTTTATAAAGTTTAATATATTAACTATAGTTTAACATTTTGAAAAGTTTGGTTCAAGTAATCATCAAAAAGAGTTGCATGAGAATATATATTGCTTTCTTTAATTAAATTTTTCTAATATTTTAAAATATTAGCATATTTTTTGCTAATACTTCTTTTTATTTAAATTTATTCTTACAAAGTCATCTACTATATTTTTATTACTTATTCTAAATTTATTATTTCTAAATTTTAAGAAAGCAATGAAGTATTTTTGCAAAGTAATAATTATTTATTAGCAATATTGGAATTAACAATAATTATTTAGTAAATATTAATTAATTATATTTTCATTAGTAATAAATGATAATTAATTAAAATGTAAATTTTGTTTTGCATATGCATGTTTAATAATGTAGTTAAGATTAGAGTAATATTATTTATCATTGTACTTATTTACAAAAAAAATAAATAGCATTAAATAATAATGTCTAATCAATTTAATTATTACTACTAAATTTATTCTTACAAAATACATCTAATTATTCTTTTTTATTAATTGTTGCAAGTTTATTCTTTATTATAATTTTCTTAAAGATTTGAAGTTAGTAAAATGTTTTAAAAGTTAGTAAGTAGTTTTATAAAATACTTCTACTAATATTTTTTACCTTCTAATCTAACTTCAAATTTCAATATTCAAAGAAATGTCTTACAAGATGCATTTATTTATTTTTAATCTACAATTTACATCATACAGATTTAAAATTGGTTTAATTTATATTAAAAAAAATTTAAAATAAAAAGAAAATTTATTAAAAAAAAAGCTTAATAAAAAAAAACTTAAAAAAACTTAAAAGTTTAAATTAATAATTAATACTATTGTTGCAACATATAGATAATCAATTTTTTTTATCAGATTAGATCAAGAAATTAACTTGATATATTGATATTAATTATTAACCTAAGCTTTAAAGAAGCCAGACTGCCTTGAAGATAATTATATAATTTGTAATGCATTTATGTTTAGCTTTTCTAATTATATACTAAATTTTTTCTAATATACATGCTAAACATTTTTTAATTATATGCCAAATTATATCAATAATTAATAAATCTGAGCTAATTATTTTATAATTTTATACAAATCAGATTGTTGCACAAATTTGCATTAATTAAGACTATAGTAAATTGTAATTTAACAACAATTGAATATATTTTTATTTAAAATAAAATAGATGTTTAGTTGTTTTTACTTTGATTAGTAGTAATATTACATATAAATCTAACTGATATAAAAAAAAAAGACCACAAAGAATGTCCAAAAATTTTACAATTTCATAAATATAACAAAATTTTAGCATAAGCCAATTTCAGTATAAGTTGATATAATAAATATTTTTATTTCAGACCAAAAATAGTAGGTATTTATAAACTTAACTGCTTAATGAATATTATAAAATAAAAATTAATTATTGAACAAAATAAAATAATAAAAAGATAATTGGAAAGATAACAATAATTATTAGTAAAATAGTTACTAAAAAATTAATTATGACTTATAAATTTGAATAACTAAGAGTCTAAGATTAATTTATAACTATTCACAAATTGACTCTTGGCTTAACCCACAAATGGACCTATAAATTAACATGCTTACCTTTACTTAGTTTGATGCAACCTGATATCTAATCAACTTACAGGTAATACAAATTTTGCTTATCTGAATCAGACCTCTAAGATTAGAGTTAAATTAAAAATTATCATATTTTGCAAGGTCTTATTGTATTTGTGCAATAATTTAATTTTTTGATTTGAATGCATAATGTGCATAAAGGATTTATATTAATTATATAAATTTGTATAACCTAAATAGTTATTAGAATATTTTTGCTAAAAATTTAAAATTTTTATTATAACTTTAATAACTGTTATATGATAAGTATAACCTAGCACAGATTTATAATACTTTAGATTAGAAAAAATATTCTTTATTAACAAATATACTTTGCAAAGATATATATTAACAAAAACCTTAGCAAATATTATAACTTTGTAAAAATATTATATTGATTATTTAGGTTTTAATCATAATGATTTTAAATATATTTTGTTATTATATAAGTATGAAATAAGCATGGAATAATTCTCAAAGGTGTTATTTTGTATAATGGTCTGAATTAAATATAATTTAGACGAAAATTCAAAATTAAATCCTGCATGTTATTTCATGCTTATATGATAAAACACTATTTTGAACAAAATTCTTTATTTATTTTAAAAATATTATTTTTACTATATATATGAATAAAAATCTATAACAATCTATAAATTATGATTTTTAAATAGTTTAAACCTATATATATTATTTTAATATTATTTGAATATTAAAATTTTAAGTATTAAATTTCATTTTTTTATATAAGTAAATATTCAAAAACACAATTTACAGATTATTATTAATCATATATTTTAATAATTTAAATATTAAAATAAATTAATAAAATATAAACCAAATATTGACATGGATTATTTTATTTATTTATTTATTTTTTCCTCCCTTCACAACCAAAAGGTTCTTAGACACCTTAGGATTTTTCTCTCACTTCCTAAGGCCAGTGTTGTCATTATTGCGAAGATCTACGGAATGGCGAAATGGCCTCTGTATGTCACCGCACTAGTGAGATAGCTCATGCTACATTAAGTCCGTCATATGACGTCCCAGGTCCCTGACCTCGCGGTGTAGAACCTACGTTATCTAGGTCCGCAGTTACCTAACTTCACATGACCCACGTCTTTTGTTGACGGATTATGCCTTTTCTGGTCATCCCGACCCTGTGGGTATACCGGCAGACTACATACGTATGAATCTTGTTCTTGCTGGTTTTTAGTTATATCTTCGTAGATCATTCAATCGTGGAGTCTCATCCCTCAGTTGGATTCGAACCCGCGACCTTGCGACTGCGACCTTGGAGTGTTAACCACTGCACTATTGACCCAGCGGGCTTGACGCGGATTATTGTAAAATTTGGGAGTTACAATTTGAAAATATATTCTTTTATTAATAAATCTAACCCTAAATCATAACTGAACAATAAAAAAAAACTAACAAAAATTGTCCAAAAATTTTTTAAAAATCGTACACAAAATACAATTAATTAAATTAACCAAAGGTGTAAATATATTTGACTTCTAAATATATTATCATCCGTCTTTATTTGGATTTCAACTTTAGAAAAAAGCTATATTCTGATCCTAAAGGTTCATTATTATAGTAAAATGCTATTTATACAACTGATGAATATTATACATATCAAATATAAGCTAAGAATAATCAACAAGATAATTACCAGCTCTCAATTTTTGCTTCTTAAGGAAATGAGCGTAGTATTTGTACGTAAAGTTTCTATTAGTATTTTTTTGAAATCACATCGAATATACTGAAAGTTTAAAGAGGTTAATGTAGTGTTCACACAAAGAGCATTTGCTAATGCTTTACATCCTTCGAAAGTGAGTGGAGCGCCAAGATATAAGGAAGTCAAAGTAGTATTTGACAAAGAGTATTTGCAAATGCTTTTGCATCATTATAACCGAGTTGATTAGACCAAAGATGCAAAGAAACCAATGTAGAGTTTATACAAAGTGATTCTGCTAGTGCTATCCCTCCTTCAAAACCAAGAAAATTGTTATTAAGATTTAAGGAAGTTAATGAAATGTTTATACAAAGAGCTTTAGCTATTGCGTTACTTCCTATAAAGCAAATACAATTATTACTAAGATCCAAAGAAGTCAGTTTAGTGTTTACACAAAGGGCCTCAGCTATTGCTTTTCCTCCTTCAATACCAAGACTGTTATTACTAAGATTGATAGAAGTCAATACAGTGTTTACACAAAGGGCCTCCGCTATTGCTTTTCCTCCTTCATTACCAAGGTAATTCTTACTAAGATTAAGAGAAGTCAATGCAGTGTTTGTACAAAGGGCCTCTGCTATTGCTTTTCCTCCTTCAACACCAAGACTATTATTACTAAGATTGATAGAAGTCAATACATTGCTTGTACAAAGGGCCTCTACTAGCATTTTTTTACTTTCAGCATTAAGATTATTTGACCTAAGATCTAAAGATGTTAAAGCAATATTTGCACAAAGAACCATTTCTATTGCTTTTACACTTTCGAAACAAGTAATATTTTGACTTAGATCTAAAGAAGTCAAAGTAGTGCTTACGTAAAGAGCCCTTACTAATAGCATTATTTCTTTATATCCAAGGCCATTAAATCCAAGGTTTAAGGAAGTTAATGTAGTGTTTATACAAAGAGCATTTGTTAATGCTTTCGTTCCTTCATAGCCAAACGAATTACTACTGAGGTTTAAGTGCTTTAGTGTAGAGTTTACACAAAGAGCATTTGCTATTGCTTTAACACCTTCACAACCAAGATTATTACCAGAAAGATTTAATGAAGTAAGAGTAGAATCTGTACAAAGAGTATTTGCAAATGCCTTTCCACCTTCAGAACCAAGATTATTTGAACAAATATTTAAAAAAGTCAGTGTGGTATTTACACAAAGGGCATTTGCTAATAATTTTCCACCTTCAGACTCTAGTTGATTATCATAAAGACATAAAGAAGTAATAGTGATGTTTTTAAAAAAAATTTCTTTTAATAATTCTAAAGCATTATCATGTTTATTAAAGTTAAAACTTAAATAATTTAAGTTTTTACTTGATCGTAAAAACATTAAGATTAAAGAATTTTTAATGATTTCTAACGTAAATCTATTTGTAATTTTTTCATCATTAATGAGCCAAATTTCGATTCCAATGTTTAAATAAGAACCATTTATAAATTTTATATAATTTATATATTCAAATAATGGAATGAAATTATTTTGATTTTGTAGGAATTTTTTTGGTAATTTAAATGGAATTAAATCAACTCTTGGGATTTCATTAGGATTTAAGAATAAAAGACATATTCTTATAAGTTAATGTCTTTAAAACAAAAAGATGGATCTCTCCATAATATTGGTATAATAAGTCTACACCAATTACGGTTTACAAGAAGGCATGAAAATAAGCATCTACGATAAATTTGAAGGTTATTAAATATTTCGAAAAGGCATTCGTTTGGCAATCTTATCATTTTAGAATAAAAAAATTTATGTATATGTGTGTGCGAAATATAAATGGATACAGTATTCATACAAAGCGTTTGTAAAACATAAAATATGCAATCTATTACGTATACGTACGTATTAACTGTGAATAAGAATGTTTTTTAAATTTCATATTTTAAATCTAAAAATTTAAAGTTCTCATTATTTTTATGTTCTTATCATTTCATATTCACACACTAACGACATCTGATTAGTGTCTCAATTAAGCATGTCAATGAACTGAATACAAGTATTAATTCTAAATTAACAGTAACGCCAATACTTAGTACATTTAAAGGGTTACCTTTTGATCTCAACCATGCAATACATGAGTTTAATCATCGGATGACCCAGGTAGAATGACCCAGGTGGAATGTTTAAAAAATTTAAACCTGAATTAATAACTTTATTATAAATTCAACGTGTCACTTATTGTTGAAATCAAGAAGCGTCTTTGTCTTCAACATAATTATATAGAGAATCTAAACTAATTTAGTATTAAAACAAGTTTGTATAATCAAGTGGCGTGCATATTGACATGGGCTAGCGTGATGTACAGTTACGATACCTTTATACCTTTGATGTAGGACATATGTTCCAGAGAATTCTTTTATCGATTAATTAAATACTAAAAAATCTTTAATCTTATCGTTATAAAAAAAAAGCAGTAGATCTGATTTTTTGTTTAAACCTTATTGATAACTATCAAACTAAATTCTAAATGTAAATTCTAAACGAAAGAAGACCAGACTCAGCCCTGTGACGTATATGATACGTAATTAGCTTTACCTACACATTATATGTATCTCTGATCAAGGCTGAGTCTGGTAGACAATAAAAATAATAAACTTGAAAATCAAAATCCGATTTTTCCTTGGTGCATTTAAATATAGCGATACTGATATATTTCTTAGGGTGTATGTATGTAGTCTATATAGACTAGATCCATATATTTATAGAGATGAGGTGGCTGTAATGGCTTTGTAACAATTATTATTTTTGAAGTCTTTGCAAAAATTGTATTTATCATGATAACTTCCATCTTAGGTTTAGGAATTACGACGAATTCTGAAATTTGAAAATCGTGAAAATGATGTAATATCGATATTTATATACACTATCGTGATAGATTTAGTTTGTATCACGTGAACATGCGAAGCTGTTATTAAGTATGTACTGTATATACGTACGTAGGTATATACTCAAGTACTAAAGACGATCCGTTCTTGATCATCCTAGCGAAAGATCCGTGAGGTTGAATCATATTCTATTGCGAAGCCTTCAAACACAAGTATGGATTAATATAAAGGGCATTACTTGCTGCCGAGCCACAAAAAAAAATCAATTAAATATTCTCACAAAAGTACATCATGTAAAAACATGATATAAGCCGGTTTAGAGTTTAATGAAACTTCAGGTTTATTTTATTAGTAAAGGTAGGTGACGAGTCTTTAACAAGAGTGGTATTAAAAATCAATTTTTCAAATGTTTTGACTTCATAATAATTATTGTTATGTTATGGAATATTTATTCATCGATCATTATTTAATTGCAAGTTTATTTTCCAGTTCATCGACTGAAATGATTGTTGATAAATAAATCATGTAATCGAAATGATCGTTGATGAACGTTCCCAGGTCTTAATATACCGGTTATGGCTAAGGGATGCTGCATTTTAAATCAAGTTTACCTTATATTAAGTGGATACATCCAATAATAGTCCTAGTTAACAAACATTTTTTCATTGATAATCGTTTCCATGACTATTACTGAAAAGATTGTAAGATAATTGGTGTTTGTCAAGATCTTTTTATTATTAATCATTCATCGTGACACTTATTAAAATATATTTTCTGAGATTTATTTTATTAATACACTTATTGAAATATATTGAGATTTATTTTATTAATCATTCATCGTGATACTATTTGAAACATATTTCTGAGATTTATTTTATTATTCTAAAGCCTTTCTAACATATTTAGATTGACTAACAATTCACTAAAATTCACTAAAAATTATACTTTCATGATGAGCTATTGTCAGCAAAGTTTGGGAGTGTATCACACAAAAATTTGTTATCTCAATTTTTAATACGTATAAACCGTGATCAGTAGATAAGGACATTAACTTTATATCTTTACATTACTATCTCATATAAAATACTCAAAGATAGTAGTAATTGTATGCAAGTTCGGTACCCCTCGAAGGTATATCGGTACCCCTCGAAAGTATATGCAGATTACACAAAAAAAAAAAAAAACGAATATGCAAATTAATGATACGTACTACATACTGCACAAAATAAATAATTTATGCAGCGTAATTATGATTATGTTTATTATAATAAATATTAAGCATTTAATATTTACAAGTGTAACTTCCGTTATTTAATGATTATAATTTGGCAATTATTATCATTAAGATTGATGTGTATAGCTTCTTATTCCCCTAAAAGTGAAGTGCTATCATTAATGTTACATTTGTGGGGTAATCCTCATTGTTTGTAAATTTTATGTAAATTCGTACCTAGGTGATCAAAGCCAACCAACTTTTTTTGTATTCGTGCATTAGGGAGATGTTAAAACCATTTACCAATTATCAGTCAAATAAAGCTACACATGAACATAATATGATAAAATTCCGCGAGTTATATTATATTATCAATTAATTTAAATATCAATATCAAATACGAATTAATTTTATTATCAATTAATTTATTAATATTTCTCCGCTAATTAATTTTTATTATCAATTAATCAAAGTATCAAATGAAAAATTCCACGAACAAAGTTTTTATTATCAATTAATTTATAAGTTAACTTTTATTATCAATTAATCAAAGTACTGAAGTATAAAGTAATTCTTATACGTAGTCCAATTCGTACATTATAGATATTATAGATAGATAGATTAAGTAAAATAATAAATTTTATTATAATGTTAACATCATTAAGTATCTTTGAACGTTAAAAGTAATAATAAAATGGTCCTAAAAAAAAAAAAGCATACGTATTCATTCAATAATTTAAATGTTTTCAAACTATGGCTATAAGAATTCTAAAATTTATTTTTAAGGTACAAAGTACGATTTGCTGTTACAAAAATAAAATTTCTAACTAACAAGTTTCCTCACACATAGGAATTATTATTTATTACAAATATTACCATCCCACAATAAAATATGTATAATATAAACGTTCTTTTGTTCTTTTGGTGTTGTGAACATGTAATAATAATTAAAAAAAAAGAGTAAAAGAAATTTGATTATAATAAAATTATATCAAAACTTAGTATAATAAGGCACCAATGAATAAAGCAGCAAAAGATCCAACGATCAATTCAAAACCGTTGAGACGAACGCTTGAAGCGGCACCTGTGGGAGCATTAGTGGATGCAGGTGCATTGGTTGATTTTCTTTTTTTTTAAAAAAGCCAATTTTTATAAGAATTAATAATCAATTAATTAATAAAATGAATAAACCAAAAAGCTTTATAAGAATACTTACGGAGAGCTGGCAGGAGGACCTCCAGAAGATGAACTCTTTGGAGCAGAAGGACCTTGAGGAGAGGCACCTGATGGTGCAGAAGCTGGTGGTGCTGCGCCTGATGGTGCTGCGCCTGATGGAGCTGGTCCGGCTGGTGCTCCAGATGGAGCTGGTCCTCCTGGTGCTGGTGCACCAGATGGAGCTGGTCCTCCTGGTGCTGGTGCTCCCGATGGTGATGCATCTGGTGCTCCCGATGGAGCTGGTCCTTTAGGATTAGGTCCTGGTGCTCCTGATGGAGCTGGTCCTTGTTGGTCAGTACTGTCGGGATTAACAGAAAAATACAAATTATTTAAATTGAAAAAATACCGAAATAAAAATATTGAAATTTCAAAGTTTACTAGAATTATAAACTTACGGTTGTTGAGCAAGGACACTAGCAAAAAGAATGCATACGATAAGGAAGATAAGTGTATTCTTAGTGATATTCATTTTGTATGATTATTAATTTTTAATATATAAACGCCTGTTTTTTTTTCGATAAAAAATTTTTATTTTTTTTACTTATATATATATTTTTTATATTATTATCATTAACTATTTTTTTTTAATTTTAATCTTAGCGCAACTGTTTTTTTGTGGTAAAGGGAACAAGAACCCGTATTTATAAGAAATTGTGAGCATAGATAAGTAGTTTTAATTGAATATGCATTAATTAACTTGTTTTGAACATTTATGCACTTCCCGCATCGGATGCAAAACGCCTCTCTAATATAATAAAGTCAATATAAATTAATAAATTATTATAAATAAATTATTTAAAAATTATAAGTAATTCGTCGCACTGCTACCCCTGATCTGCCAATCAATTGTGTAAACGCGAAAATCGTAACGATCATAACGATCATAATAAATATATATATTTTTACACAACAAAAATATCGATATTCTTTTTTTATCCTCTACAAAAAGATTTTACATAATAATTTCTCCCTACAAAAAGATTTTACATAATAATTTCTATTTTTTTTTTTTTTATTCGTATAAATTACTTTACTAGTTCTTTCTTCAAACTATACAACTGTAAGATGTAATTACTCAGGAATATATATTGATATTGTATTAAGGTAAATATTTCAAATGCATTTAATCAAACGTTAAATATCAATATTCAATTATCGCCACTTTATTATTTCATTATTTAACTTTTATGGAGTTGAGGCTTAGGTTTTATTGTTATTATTATTATTTACGGATATTTCGTTTATTTGTAATACCGATACGAGTAGATTTACATATTTACATATATACAATGCACGGGGTTAATTGTGGCATGATTTACTAACTTTTTTTTTTTTTTCCAAATAATATATTATTAATTTTGGTACCCCGATTAATGAACAATATAGTAATGAAAATAATTCCATATTTATATGAATCAATTATCAAAAAAAGATTAAATAAACATTCGGTTTTAGATTATAATAAAGGAAATGTATGAAATTTTAGTTAACTTTAAAAAAAAATTATGATCTTACTTGTTTTAGTAAAATTAAGCCTTTCTGCGCATTTAAAATAGATCATCGAGGTGGCTATGAAATAAATTACGTAAGGATGGCTGAGACTTGAATGATTGCACGAAGCCTCTGAAATGGATCCAGGAGTATAAACTTCTTTTATTAATAGAAATATTGTAACTGTGAGAAAATCTTGATTTCATAGATAATGTAATGTAATGTTACAATGTGATGAATTACCTTCGCCATGATCGATGTGCAATCGAATGAATATAGCATTCAATTCACATAAAGTCTATACATACGTATGCATCGTGTATCGCATCCTCAGTTACTCCAAAGAACCTATTATACGACTGTGAAATACCATTATTTTAACGCATGCATCAATGATAATTGCTAAATTTAGTGCATGAATCCATAAGTAAATTGCAATATTTACTAGCATAAATGAGAACGAGACGTTAATCATACGTACGTACGTGTGTGCATACGTGAGTGCATACATGTGTGCATATGTATGTGATGAACAACCTGTAAAAAAACCCCCTATGTGACATATATAGTTACGCCAATCAATCAATCAAATCTAAATTTTTATGGACGTCTGTACATTTCTTAGTCTTTTTTTTGAGCAGACTAAGTTATTATTTCATCACTCCCATTCCTGGCACCCCTTAAACTAAATATATAACTCTTCTTTAGTTCATTACTATCTGTTTATTTATATATAGAAACATTGCCTTTTACAATCTTTGTTATATAATAAATACTTTCCTTATAACAGTTAGAACCAATCTTTTATAATTTTAGCTATCCCGTGAAGTGAAAATTAAAACAATTATGTTCTCATCTACTAATATGTATGTTATCTTTAGGATATACTACGAATGCAAAATAAGAAATATGTGTATACGTATCATATAAACTTTTAGAATTAATGTTATTGACCAAATAAAGGCACTTCTGCAAGAGATATATTAGGATAATAATTTATAATGTACCAATTAATTATCATCTTTTAAATTACATACGTATGTACGTGTGTACGTGCATACATCTAATGAAGTGTGCATACATCTCATCTAATGAAATGTTCATACACAAAGATGCATAAACTTAAAAATCCTTTGACTTTTAACAAAATGTACATTGATTTAGATTCTTTTCCTTTAACAAATTGTTAAGGGCATTGTGGAGCATTCGATTGCAAATAAGGATAATCCTTTGTATTTTAGTTCCTTTTGTATTCAATGTGTTCATATTTTATGTATTTAAATGCATTTAATTATTTACACACGTAAATAGTAACAAACATTTCGATATCAGATAATACTCCTTTTTTTTTTTTTTTTTTTTTTTTTTTTTTTTTTTTTTTTTTTTTTTTGAGGACCTTCCGAACCAAATACTTCAAATCTATGTATATCAAATGTTCATCATGTATTTTATGCTAAAGAACAACCGTTATATAAAATTCCGTTCTATCTATTTTTATTCAAGGTCAGAAAACCAATTAACATATAATAATTTGATTTTATTTATAGTTTTAACGATAACAAAAAAAATTTTAGGCTCGAATGTCATTTCCTGACCCTAATTAATTGTTAGTCCATAACAGTATAGGTGTGCATAATGATATTATCGATCCTATTATATTTTAAGTTTTGTGTCACATACTAGTAAATTTGTGTCCGGGACCCGGTTGGGTCCTAACACTAAAAATAAAGTGAGTTAAATTCTATACGTTCTTGTATACCATAACAATTATGTTGATTGTAGATCATAATGTGAACCGTCAATTAATACATTTTATTGGTTTTCTTTATAACCTATTGCATAATTGTGCTTAGATTAAGGCGCATTATACATTATTTGATTGCTGCTAAGGGAAAATGCGATTTATGGCTTTCGAGCATATCATTTATTATTTACCAAATTAAGTTCATATGAATTCTCATCGGTGACGTATATATAATATATGATTAAGCATCGTATTTGACCGGAAAATAATAATTATTAAATATAAATAAATGTCGAAAATCAGATAAAAATAGAATTTGAAAAAAATCACTTTTAATCTCATATTAAAAAATTCTAACCATAAATTCATAAAATCCTTATCAAAATTCTAAAAAAAGAATACACCTCGAATAATTTTATCATGATTGTGTGTGTAAAATTTCTAATTAATTTAATGAAATGTTCATTTTAATCCGTTTTCATTTTAATCTGCCCAATAAATGATGGAATTGAAATTTCAAAATACGGATTTAGCGACATTTATTGGTGATCAAATCAACTGCTATTGCATTTAAATGCAATTACTGTGCTTTCTAAATTTATCTTACTGGAACAATATGTAAGTACAATTAAACAAAACAATGCATTTATAGATGTTGTAAAAGGTAAATATGTATTTGAAATGAATAAACCCGTGATTTTATATGTAATGTAGTACGTATGTACATTCATCATTATGCGTATACTATAAACTTTAATGTGTATATCATAGGGTTTCCCGAAGTCCATTTTTCTGAAATACCATTTCACCAAAGTCTTAACAGGGCCTATGTCATTTCACCGAATATCAATTAGACGACAAATTTATTTCGCTGACAGCTCATTTCACTGATAATTATTTCATTGATAATTATTTCACTGACAGATTTTTTAAAATTTGTATTAACCTTAAGCCTACTTTTAATTCTGACCCTAACGACAATGACCAGAATTACTTCGTAGATGAAAGACTATCAGTGAAATAAACCTATCAGCTAATTGATTTTCGGTGAAATAATACAAACCTATTTCTGTCCTGTCAGTAAAATGAATTTCGGTATTACGACTTCGATAAAATGGTATTTCAGAAAAATGGTTGTCGGGAAGTTAAACTGGAACCTACTATGTTAGATTTTTTTATGTAGTCTAATTTACATTATGAATAACATTTTTAGTAATTAGTTATTTAACAAATCTTATGCGAATAATATTTTTATTATATATTCAAAATAATTATTTTATATTATGAACAATTTAGTTCAAGTAAATAAAGATTTTTAATAGCTAAATTTAATTTTAATTTATATTTATGGTATGGTCAAATTTCAAATTTCAATTTAATTCAGTTAATTTAATGTCCAATTTAATAATTTAGTGTACTAAGTAGTAAATTTTGCTTGTTTAATAATATATTTCAAGTGGCCAAATTGGTTGTTTAATTGTAAATTATTTTGGTTTTATTACTTTATAAAAAATAATTTCAAAAAATCTTAAATAGTTTTTATAAAATATTCTATAAAGAAATTTTTGTCTATTGTTATAATTAGGAATTAGTATTTTGAAATTAATTACTCTTTTTTAGTATTAAAGATAAAATTATATTTTAAATCATTATTAGTATATATAGTATATAGTTTTATTTAATACAATTGCTTAGTTTGATCTTTGATCTATTAAATATATCAGAAATTTATTTTTGAACTAATAGAATTAAGAAAAAGAAAATATATTAGAAGTGAAGCAGGATTTAATCATAATTATAGTTAAAAAGTTGGGTTGTAAATCTTTAAATGCAATAAGAAATTCAAATTTTGTAATAAATTTGTTGGTTAAAATAAAGTAAAAACTTTATAACAAGTATTATAATTATTTTTTTAAATAACAAACTTGTAATAATATTAATAAGTTTATTTGATATTAAGTCTGTTAAAATTAAGAAAACTGAAGATATATCTAATATATTGTAAATTAACATACTATTCAGCAGCTTAATTTAATAATATAAATTAATTATAGTATATAATGTAGTGTTAAGTATAGTTATATTAAGATTATTATAAGTTAAATAAAGAATTATTAGTGCCATATTAGCATTTTTTAGATCTAATATTAGATTAATATTAGTTAAAATTTAACTTAAATCAGAAACCTATAAAATAAAAATTGGTATTATATCAGCTTTAAGCAATATTAGTAAGCTGATAG